CTGTTTTTCACAGGGGGCTAATGTGCATGTCCCAAACATTGCTAACAGGATGGCTGTGGAGCCAGCCAAGGACTGTTGGTATTAACACACCGTAAGAAAGAGCAGGTTTTGACTGGAGAAGGGCCATGTGGAGATAGGCCAGCACCTGCCTGGGACAAACATTCTTGGTGTAGTTCCGGGGGATGAGAACAACTTCCAGAAAGCAAGAAACTCATCTTGGGGGCAGAGGAACCTGTCCATAAAAGGTCTCCCTACCAAGCCCACGGGGCTGCTCCCCCTGGACACCTTGTCACCTGCAGGATTAACAACGACGCCGAGAACATCCCACCGGCCAGATCGACAATGGAACCAGGGCTGGTGATCTCTTTTTCCCTCTCCCTTTTCCTCTTTCTCTCTTCTCTCTCTCTCTTCCTTTTTCTTTCTTTAAAGCATCTCTCCCTTTTTAATTTCCCTTTTCTCCTTTATCCAAACCCACTGCCATTTGCTTATATAGTAGGTCAGGGACTAATATACCAATTTCCATGCTAAGTGTGTAATTTCCAAATAAAACTTTGACTGTTTGCAGAACCTCTGACTCTTCTGTCGTTCCTTTCGACCACAAGCATGTACAAATATCAGGTGTTTCCCCCGCTTAAGGGCTGCGTGTCACACACCCATACTTTTTCCAAAGTTTGTATTGATACAGAATTCAGGTAAACTCTACCAACAGGAAACACGGAGATAAGCTGTCATTTTAAATCTGAAGCCAACAAAATAGAAAAGCAGTGACACTTCAGTTACAGACAGAGAGATGAGCTGAGACACTGTTTCTATTTCACTGGTGAGGAGAAACACTTGCTCTAGTATCAGTTTGTCAAATTAATTTTGAGTGGAGCTAGGTGAATACTATACACCAAGTATCATCCTCCTTTAGAATTTCACACACCAGCACTAATACAGTGGCTACTGTGCCAGCACATAGATGCCTTACTTATAACCATTGCTGTTATGCTACATAATCTACACACACACACAGAGATCTTGTCTCAACACCATTCCAAACAAAATACAAAACCAGGCATGAGCAAGGAAGAATAATTAAAACAGTATCACATCATCAAATACTTGAGTGAAATAAGATCTAACAGTAATTCTGAAAAGGCACATGAAGGGTGTCTACAGGAAGGATATTTCCTGGACACATGGGCTTCACCTCACGCTATTTTCATCCTCCTCTAAGGATGAAGCTCATGATCAGACGGACAATTCAAAGCACCATGATAAGGACCTTGGCAAAGGAACACAAATCTATCTACTGAATAAATTCACTTTTGGACCAAGCCTTAACACATCAAACCGGAAAGAAAGACGGGAAAAAATACAGGTGACAGACTAGTCACTCATCTTAGTCTTCCAGAGTAAGATTTTATAAAAAAAAATCCTATTATTAAATCACCAATCTTTTCTTCACAGATTATAGGCCTTTTATTTTTTCTTTGTAACACTTATTTCTGAAATAACTATTATTGCCTTTATGATATGACATTCAAGACCACTAAGGCAAATGCAACAGAGAATTTTAAGCAGAACATGGGGTCCAGATATTTGGGTCCAAGTTCCATATTTTGTAATAGCAACCCCAAGACTCCAGTTACACATGAAACTGTAATGCAATGCCAAGCTGATCCTTTGCTTTGCCAGTCCATAATAAAAGAACTCTATCAACAGACAAGTAATTGCTAAAAACTAACACATCAGAAAGAAGGAAAAGAAAGCAAAAGCCTTTAGTGAGAAAGAACATAGAACAAAAACACAGTTCCATGTAATGCAAGTATTCCCACCACCATTCAGATCACATCTAACTAACTCCAGCTGAAAGACAAGACACAGCTTCATTCTCATTACCCTTCCAGGGCACAGTCACACAAACTAAGAAATCCTATCACAATGTTGCAGAATATTTTTAGTACTTGATGCATTTCATCACTTCCTGGGTCACCACGATGACCATGAACCAGCAATGTGCCCTTGCTCCAAAGGAGGCAAATGGTATCCTGAGCTGCACTAGAAGAGCATTGCCAGAGATGGAGGGAAGTGCTCCTGCCCCTCTGCTCAGCACTGCTGAGGCCATACCTGGAGTGCTGTGCCCAGTTCTGTGCTTCTTAGTACGAGACAGACATGGACATGGTGGAGAGAGTCCAGCAAAGGGCCACAAATAAGAATAAGGGACTGGAGCATGTCCGTATGAGGAACCCTGAGAGAGATGGGACCGTTTAGACTGCAGAAGCGAAGGCTCAGGGGAGAACCTTACTGATGCATATAAATTTCTAAAGAGAGTGTACAAAGACAACAGAGACACGCTCTGTCCTCTGACAGGACCAGAGGCAATAAGCACACACCAAAATGCAGGAGGAACATCAGGACACACCTTTCACTGTGAGGGTGCCTGAGAACTGGCGCAAGTTGCCCAGCACGGTTCTGTAATCTCTGTTCTTGGTGATACTCAAAGTCGTCCGGACATTGTCCTCAGCAACTGGCCCTACAGTGGCCCTGCTTCAGTCAGGCTGGACCCAACAACTGCCAAAGGTCCCTTCCAACCCCAACCATTCTGTCATTTGCTCTGTGAAGGAAATTTATCTGTAACAGACGGCTGCAGCACACTCAAAAGATTTCTGTCATCACTTCTGGCATATCAACACCATCTGCAAATGTGGAAATGCACCTCAGTTCCTCTCCTGTTAGGCTTAGCAACTGACACTGGAGCTAAGGCCAGCGTGGGGGGGTTCGTTTGTTTTGTTTTACTACCCCCTAGCAATTTTTTTCTACCTCCTTTAACAGGTCACCCAGTGGTAACAGAATTATCAAAATAAGAAAAGATGCCCAGAGTAGAATTTGGGGATTAAAAAAACCCCTAGCAATAGAAGACGTGCTATCTTTAACCCATGCTAACTACAAAGTCCTAAAACCAGTCTTTCTCACTACATTAAAAGAGAACAAACATACATACATATTCTGTGCATTTTCCATGGGGCAGCCAACTTTTCCAGGAAAAAGCACTACAGCTATGCTATTCAGTCAGCTTCCAGCATACAAAGAAAAAAACGCCATCAGAGGTGTCTCTTCAAACAAAGTAACTCAACTGAGCATCAATCCATGATCTTATGCTACATTTGTAAGACTGCAGAAAACGCTGCGTCACCGGTACTAAGGCTGACCGCCTGCAGACCCGGTTCGGTCAGCGGCAGCACCCCGAGACCCCGCGGCGGCGGAGAGACAGCAGCCCCAGCGCGCAGCACAGCCCCGAGGGACCCGCCGAGCTCCCACCCCGGCCCACCCGCTGCAGTGCCAGCGCCTCTCTCCCGACAACGGCCACTCATGAAGCAAATGGTTTCAACAGTACGAGGATTCATAATCTATTTTTCAGCACAGACCCGCGAAGGAGGAGAAAAAAAAAACAGTGCACAATAAGCCTTTCATTCAAACAAGAAAGGCTTCCAGAAGTACAGAGTGTCTCTAAGCTTTATCCAAAACTCACTGATATCAACAGAGGCCGATGGAACCTCCTGTGTTTTGGTGTGTGCCCATTTCTATCAATGGACTCTGGAGGAGGCTAGCACCCAAGACAGTTTGAAAGCATCATCAGTCACACTATCATGCATTATTAATAACACAACAAACTCAAAACAGCACACCGGAATTCCAGCTAGCTCATACTCTGTGACAGTATCATAAATTCACCACCCCTTTAAAAACCTTTCCTCAAATCATACAAAGATCTGTCTCTGCCATAACCACTACAAATTATTCTCCCCCACCTTGTAACAAGCAACACCATTACAGCATGATGGTGGAATAGCAGAGACTGAGATATAGAGCAGGGTACAATTTTACATATGATAGATGTAGTCCTTGGCTGGGAAAGCAAACACAGGAAGAACACTCTGTCTGACAGAGTATCCAAAGCACAGGCACAGATGTCTTTCAGCTTACTATTAGACAGCAAGCCCAAAGTAATGCACTGCTGGTTTTAAATTGAGTTACGTGAAGAGTTATTCATGCTCCCAGCAAGAACAGGGAGTATTATTGTGTTACACAAATAGGTACATAGTAAATTAATAACAAAATTAAGATCTTGTTAAGTGTTTTCCATATAGAAACTTTGTTCACTTGTCATTTAATTGTCATTTAATCAAAAGAACCCTCATATCCCTCAATGAAATGGTACTGCATTTTGTTCTCTTGGATTTACTAAATTATAGAGCAGGCTTATGCTACACTAACTCTTCAAGTCTCCAACTGTAGCCTAAAGTTACTTCAACATTAGACAAACATGAATTCTGACAGGGTAAGGTACAGCACAATGAGTGACAGACAAGAAGTATTTTTTAAAGTCATTAAACAACAAAAAGAGTTTCCATCATAGACAAAGTTTAGGAGAATTCAGTGTGAGAAATCAGTTCTAATAACACAGATCTCACGCTACAAGAAACGTTTCTTTGGTGTGGAACCATGCAGTGATGCAAAAAAACCCTCATGACATGCTAAAAAAAGAAGGGAGGAAAGAATGCATCTTCAGTCGAGTGAAGAGCTCCAATACACAAAAGAAGTATTGATGTCAGGTCAGGTGTTCATCACCACATTGCTTCATCTTCCCCAACAGCCAGAGGGTAAGCAACAACCGGCAGTCAGCACGGCGAGGCAGAGGCGAACCGCGGTACTGCTAAAACGAAGAACTGGCTTTAAACCCTAAAAACAAAGGTTTGGCACGTTGTTGCGGGACGGACTGATGCTTCACTGCTTCAGCTGTGTATTTGATGTGAACGCTCTCACCCGAGGAACCCCTTCCTAATCACATTTCTTTTCACACACTGCCGCAAGAGAAATCTCACCCTGCGCTACAAAAAAACAAAACAAAAACCCCACAGAACAGTCTCCGCTTTCTCTGCTTTCCCCCCACATCCCCCCCCGGCCCCCCGCACCCCTGCCGGGAGCTGGTGCAGGCCGGCACCGCGGACACTCACCGGAGAGCTCGTCCGGCTCCAGCCCGGTCTCGGTGTCCAACCCGCACACCACGAAGTAGTCGGCGAAGCGGCCGGGGGGC